CCACCAAAAGGCTTTGCCGAGCCACCAAAAGCTGGGTTGACCCATGGAAGGTCCCCGGTGCTCAACCCTCCCTCCCCACCCCTTCCCCCCACAGGTCCCTTGAAGCCCCCGAGCCTCCACGTCTTGCCCTCGTCACGTGCCGAGGCTTGCGCCGGCCACAACTTCACCGCCTTCTGCCTCGTCAAGGACTTCTACCCGCCGGAGATCGCCGTCTGGTGGCGGCAAGGCGCTAACGAAGGGCCAGTTGACGAGGCGCCCAGTTGTGACCACAAAGCCCACCGCTGCTCCCTGGTGGTCACCTTGGACGTGCCGTGGGACGAGTGGGTGGGGGGCACCTCCTACGGCTGCTCGGCCGCCCACATCTCCTCCGGCAAGATGGTGGAGAAGACCGTTGACGTCCATGCCGGTAGGGTTGCTAACGAGCGGCCGGGGCGTTAAGGGGCGGAGCTAATTAGAGCAGCCGGTGATGGCTCCACCATGACCTCCTTCCTGCAGACCCCTGGGATTGCACCGGGCTCCACTTTGTACCTTGCGGCTTATTGGGTGAGGGCGATGACCTGGAGCCGGAGGAGGATGGCAGCGCCTGGACCACCATCTCCACCTTCGTGGTGCTCTTCCTCCTCCTGATCTTCTACAGCGGCTTCATCACCTTCATCAAGGTAACCCAAGCATTGGCTTTGTTTTGCTTTGGTTGGGTTGCCCAACCATGGGTTGGGTTGCCCAGTCTTGGGTTGGTTTGACCATCCTTGGGTTGCTTGGCCATGGGTTGGGTTTCTTGGCCTTGGGTTGCGTTGCCTGGTCTTGGGTTGGGTTGCCTGGCCTTGGGTTGCTTGGCCATGGGTTGGGTTGCTTGGCTGGGTGGGGTTGCCCGGCCTTGGGTTGCCTTGCCTGGCCATGGGTTGGGTTGCCCGGTCTTGGGTTGGTTTGACCATCCTTGGGTTGGGTTGCCCAGTCTTGGGTTGTCTTGCCTGGCCTTGGGTTGGGTTGCTTGGCCATGGGTTGGGTTGCCCAGTCTTGGGTTGTCTTGCCTGGTCTTGGGTTGGTTTGACCATCCTTGGGTTGGGTTGCCCATCCTTGGGTTGGGTTGCCCAGTCTTGGGCTGGTTTGACCATCCTTGGGTTGGGTTGCTTGGCCATGGGTTGGGTTGCCCGGCCATCTGTTGCCTTGCCTTCCCATGGGTTGGGTTGCCTGGTCTTGGGTTGGTTTGACCATCCTTGGGTTGGGTTGCTTGGCCATGGGTTGGGTTGCCCGGTCTTGGGTTAGGTTGCCCATCCTTGGGTTGGGTTGCCCATCCTTGGGTTGGGTTGCCCAGTCTTGGGCTGGTTTGACCATCCTTGGGTTGGGTTGCTTGGCCATGGGTTGGGTTGCCCGGCCATCTGTTGCCTTGCCTTCCCATGGGTTGGGTTGCCTGGTCTTGGGTTGGTTTGACCATCCTTGGGTTGGGTTGCTTGGCCATGGGTTGGGTTGCCCGGTCTTGGGTTAGGTTGCCCATCCTTGGGTTGGGTTGCCCATCCTTGGGCCAAACCCGACCACAAAGAGGCCACCAGAATTTCCCTAGAATGCTCAAAAAACCCCATTTCCCCCCATTTTCACTGTTTTCCACCCATTTGCCACCCATTTCCACCCATTTTCACCCATTTTCCACCCAATCCTTGCCCCAAACCCGACCACAAAGAGGCCACCAGAATTTCCCTAGAATGCTCAAAAAACCCCATTTCCCCCCATTTTCACTGTTTTCCACCCATTTGCCACCCATTTCCACCCATTTTCACCCATTTTCCACCCAATCCTTGCCCCAAACCCGACCACAAAGAGGCCACCAGAATTTCCCTAGAATGCTCAAAAAACCCCATTTCCCCCCATTTTCACTGTTTTCCACCCATTTGCCACCCATTTCCACCCATTTTCACCCATTTTCCACCCAATCCTTGCCCCAAACCCGACCACAAAGAGGCCACCAGAATTTCCCTAGAATGCTCAAAAAACCCCATTTCCCCCCATTTTCACTGTTTTCCACCCATTTGCCACCCATTTCCACCCATTTTCACCCATTTTCCACCCAATCCTTGCCCCAAACCCGACCACAAAGAGGCCACCAGAATTTCCCTAGAATGCTCAAAAAACCCCATTTCCCCCCATTTTCACTGTTTTCCACCCATTTGCCACCCATTTCCACCCATTTTCACCCATTTTCCACCCAATCCTTGCCCCAAACCCGACCACAAAGAGGCCACCAGAATTTCCCTAGAATGCTCAAAAAACCCCATTTCCCCCCATTTTCACTGTTTTCCACCCATTTGCCACCCATTTCCACCCATTTTCACCCATTTTCCACCCAATCCTTGCCCCAAACCCGACCACAAAGAGGCCACCAGAATTTCCCTAGAATGCTCAAAAAACCCCATTTCCCCCCATTTTCACTGTTTTCCACCCATTTGCCACCCATTTCCACCCATTTTCACCCATTTTCCACCCAATCCTTGCCCCAAACCCGACCACAAAGAGGCCACCAGAATTTCCCTAGAATGCTCAAAAAACCCCATTTCCCCCCATTTTCACTGTTTTCCACCCATTTGCCACCCATTTCCACCCATTTTCACCCATTTTCCACCCAATCCTTGCCCCAAACCCGACCACAAAGAGGCCACCAGAATTTCCCTAGAATGCTCAAAAAACCCCATTTCCCCCCATTTTCACTGTTTTCCACCCATTTGCCACCCATTTCCACCCATTTTCACCCATTTTCCACCCAATCCTTGCCCCAAACCCGACCACAAAGAGGCCACCAGAATTTCCCTAGAATGCTCAAAAAACCCCATTTCCCCCCATTTTCACTGTTTTCCACCCATTTGCCACCCATTTCCACCCATTTTCACCCATTTTCCACCCAATCCTTGCCCCAAACCCGACCACAAAGAGGCCACCAGAATTTCCCTAGAATGCTCAAAAAACCCCATTTCCCCCCATTTTCACTGTTTTCCACCCATTTGCCACCCATTTCCACCCATTTTCACCCATTTTCCACCCAATCCTTGCCCCAAACCCGACCACAAAGAGGCCACCAGAATTTCCCTAGAATGCTCAAAAAACCCCATTTCCCCCCATTTTCACTGTTTTCCACCCATTTGCCACCCATTTCCACCCATTTTCACCCATTTTCCACCCAATCCTTGCCCCAAACCCGACCACAAAGAGGCCACCAGAATTTCCCTAGAATGCTCAAAAAACCCCATTTCCCCCCATTTTCACTGTTTTCCACCCATTTGCCACCCATTTCCACCCATTTTCACCCATTTTCCACCCAATCCTTGCCCCAAACCCGACCACAAAGAGGCCACCAGAATTTCCCTAGAATGCTCAAAAAACCCCATTTCCCCCCATTTTCACTGTTTTCCACCCATTTGCCACCCATTTCCACCCATTTTCACCCATTTTCCACCCAATCCTTGCCCCAAACCCGACCACAAAGAGGCCACCAGAATTTCCCTAGAATGCTCAAAAAACCCCATTTCCCCCCATTTTCACTGTTTTCCACCCATTTGCCACCCATTTCCACCCATTTTCACCCATTTTCCACCCAATCCTTGCCCCAAACCCGACCACAAAGAGGCCACCAGAATTTCCCTAGAATGCTCAAAAAACCCCATTTCCCCCCATTTTCACTGTTTTCCACCCATTTGCCACCCATTTCCACCCATTTTCACCCATTTTCCACCCAATCCTTGCCCCAAACCCGACCACAAAGAGGCCACCAGAATTTCCCTAGAATGCTCAAAAAACCCCATTTCCCCCCATTTTCACTGTTTTCCACCCATTTGCCACCCATTTCCACCCATTTTCACCCATTTTCCACCCAATCCTTGCCCCAAACCCGACCACAAAGAGGCCACCAGAATTTCCCTAGAATGCTCAAAAAACCCCATTTCCCCCCATTTTCACTGTTTTCCACCCATTTGCCACCCATTTCCACCCATTTTCACCCATTTTCCACCCAATCCTTGCCCCAAACCCGACCACAAAGAGGCCACCAGAATTTCCCTAGAATGCTCAAAAAACCCCATTTCCCCCCATTTTCACTGTTTTCCACCCATTTGCCACCCATTTCCACCCATTTTCACCCATTTTCCACCCAATCCTTGCCCCAAACCCGACCACAAAGAGGCCACCAGAATTTCCCTAGAATGCTCAAAAAACCCCATTTCCCCCCATTTTCACTGTTTTCCACCCATTTGCCACCATTTTCCACCCATTTTCACCCATTTTCCAACATTTTCCACCCATTTTTACCCAATTTCACCCATTTTCCAACATTTCCACCCATTTTCACCCATTTTCCACCCAATCCTTGCCCCAAACCCGACCACAAAGAGGCCACCAGAATTTCCCTAGAATGCTCAAAAAAACCCATTTTCCCCTCATTTTCACTGTTTTCCACCCATTTGCCACCATTTTCCACCCATTTTCACCCATTTTCCAACATTTTCCACCCATTTTTACCCAATTTCACCCATTTTCCAACATTTCCACCCATTTTCACCCATTTTCCACCCAATCCTTGCCCCAAACCCGACCACAAAGAGGCCACCAGAATTTCCCTAGAATGCTCAAAAAAACCCATTTTCCCCTCATTTTCACTGTTTTCCACCCATTTGCCACCCATTTCCACCCATTTTCACCCATTTTCCACCCAATCCTTGCCCCAAACCCGACCACAAAGAGGCCACCAGAATTTCCCTAGAATGCTCAAAAAACCCCATTTCCCCCCATTTTCACTGTTTTCCACCCATTTGCCACCCATTTCCACCCATTTTCACCCATTTTCCACCCAATCCTTGCCCCAAACCCGACCACAAAGAGGCCACCAGAATTTCCCTAGAATGCTCAAAAAACCCCATTTTCCCCTCATTTTCACTGTTTTCCACCCATTTTCCACCATTTTCACCCGTTTTCCCTCATTTTCACCCGATTTCAACCATTTTTACCCAATTCCACCCAATTCCACCCGATTTAATCCATTTTCAACCATTTTCACCCATTTTCACCCGATTTCATCCATTTTCACCCAATATCACCCAATTTCAACCATTTTTCACCCATTTTCACCCAATCCTTGCCCCAAACCCGACCACAAAGAGGCCACCAGAATTTCCCTAGAATGCTAAAAAACCCCATTTCCCCCCATTTTCACTGTTTTCCACCCATTTTCCACCATTTTCCACCTTTTCCACCCATTTTCCACCATTTTCCACCCATTTTCACCCATTTCCCCCCATTTTCACCCATTTTCCAACCCTTTTCACCCAATTTCACCCATTTTTCCACCCAATTCTTGTCCCAAACCCAACCAGAAGGCAAAGAGGCCCCAAGGATTTTGGGTGTCTCCAGCAGAAGGCCCCAGTTTTATCCATTTTCACCCATTTCCACCCTTTTTTCACCCATTTTCACCTATTTTCACCCATTTCCCACCCAATTCCCCCCATTTTTCACCCATTTTCACCCATCTTCCACCCCCATTTTCCACCCAATTCTTGTCCCAAACCTTCTGTGAGCAAAATGGGCCCCAAGGGTCTTGGGTGTGCGCAGCAAAAAGCCCAAATTTTACCCATTTCCACCCATTTTCACCCATTTCCACCCATCGCCACCCATTTTCCACCCATTTTTACCCGTTTCCACCCAATTTCCCCAATTTTCACCCAGTTCTGCCCAATTTCTCCTATTTCCCCCCATTTCTCACCTATTTCCATCCCTTTTCCCCCATTTTCCACCCATTTCCATCCAATTTCACCCATTTCCACCCATTTCCACCCATTTTCCCCATCTTTCACCCATTCCCGCCCAATTTCACCCAATTTCTCCTATTTTCCCCCATTTCTCACCTATTTCCATCCAATTTCATCCATTTTCCCCCATTTTCCACCCATTTTCACCCATTTCCACCCATTTCCACCCATTTTCCCTATATTTCACCCATTTCTGCCCAATTTCGCCCAATTTCTCCTATTTCCCCCCATTTCCCACCTATTTCCATCCATTTCCACCCATTTTCCACCCATTTCCACCCATTTCCACCCATTTTCCCCATCTTTCACCCATTCCCGCCCAATTTCACCCAATTTCACCCATTTCCCCATTTTCCACCCATTTCCACCCATTTCCACCCATTTTCCCCATCTTTCACCCATTTCCGCCCAATTTCACCCAATTTCTCCTATTTTCCCCCATTTC